CATTCATATCCAGGCCGGACAAGGTAACCCAGCCAGAGGAAAAGGGTCTTAAGAGCAGTCAGCTGGCTTCCTCTAAAACCCAGGACCACCAGCCCAGGGATGGCATCACCCACAATGGTTTGGTTTCTCCCGCTATCAATCACTAATTAAGAAAATGCTGTACAGGTGGATCTTATGGAAGCGTTTTCTCTCAACTGAGGTTCACTCCTTTCAAATGAGTCTAGATTGTGTCAAGTTGACATAAAAGTATCCAGCACCTCCCCCCCCCACACGATTTCTGGCATAATAGCATTGAAACATAAATATACATATACTTGAGTATATGTATACAAATAAATATTATATACTCATATGTGTGTCTGTGCATATTTATATGTTTTAATGCTATTATACCTTTCCTTTCTCAGTATAGCTTTTGGAATTCAAAGTGATAAATTTAACTTAAAAATCTTTTTTCTGGATTCTTAGGTATTTTTCTTTTTCTAGCCTAAAGATCTTTTAAAAGTAGTGTTGGTATTTCAGAATAAAATAGGATTCCAAGAAGGAAAAACACATGTGGAAATACTTTCAAATATTCCTTGGCTGCTTATATGAATGAACTGAGATGACTTAGGTGGTCTACTTGTGGAATTGTGGCTTTGGGGGCTATGAAGAAGCTAGGCACATATTTTAAAGATGCTAAGCCCAGATAGTCTGGACATTTACCATAAAAGAAGTTAAGTTTTTCTCTCCTTCTTTCCTTGGCTCTGAAAATATTCCCTTGACAGTGGTTTTCTTTTCCATGCCCTTCTAGAGGCTGAAGGTGGGGGTTAGTTGGCAAAATTCCACACAGCATGCAGTATTCACTGCCATCTAATGGGGCTTGAAGTGTCTCTTTGGGGAAGAAGAGAAAAACTCCATCGCTAAAAATGTCAAGTCTGGGATCCAGAGACCCTGTTAGAGAGACTGTGGGAAATGTTCCTTTGGCTGGGGAATAGACTGGGTGGCTGGTATGTCCTTTTCCAAGTTCACTAACTTCTACGACTTGAGAAAAAAAACGATCTTAAAAGAAACAGAAGGAACCGGATTTTTCAAACAAAAGCAAAGCCTAACTATAACATCTTGGCTTATTTTTTAAGGTCGCCAAGAATTAAAATGCCACAATGAAAAGGATTCTATGCTCAGATTATTATGGACTAAGCCCTTACATGTTAGGAAGAAGTTTACAACATCCCTAGATCCCTTGAGTACATGATAAACTTGTATTTAATCTAATAATAGCCACAGAATGCTTAGTACAGAGTAGAAACTGAAGGGCTGTATTTGAGTTCCCACCATTGACTGTTGAAACCAAACTTATGCTGAGTACCACAGCCTTTGACAAATCCTACTTGCTCTATGTATTGTATATATGTTGACATATGCATGATAAATAGATAGGTATGCATAGATACAATTTTGAAAATACTTACTAGAGAGGAAAAGAGCAATGGAGGTATTGGAGCAATTACTCTGTTTCAAACTATAATTTGACATCACAGGGCCACTAGGGAAGGGCATGATGCTGGAGCTGAAACACCTTTGTGAGAATCTCTTCCTGGCTGTGTAAACCTTAGGAAGCCACTGAACCATTTTGTGAGGCTGTAACCTCATCTTCAAATGAGAGGAATGACTGCTTCTGTCCCTCAGAGTTGCCGTGGGATAAAATGAGTTAAGTTGTGGCATCGTATAAACTACAAGTGAATGTGAGCTGTCGTCGTGATTACTAGTATGTGCGAGGCTCCATGCTAGGTGCTCTGGGGGATAAAAGTAAAACGATACACAGTCCCCCTTTATACAGTTAAGCTTCAGTCGCATAAAATTTGATATTGATACCCAGGAAGAAAACCCAGTTCATCACCGTTCATCACCACAGACCAGCCCTTTATGAAAGCTACAGGGACTGGGCGGTCTGGGACTGGACCAGAAGAGTATTTCTGTAATGGGTGTTAGTCTTTTACTTGTCTCTATTTACCTGATGCGTTTCTATTTGACGGGATGAGACAAGGCTCAAGGCCAGATTGCACACTAAACCGTGTTTGCAGGGGCTTAGCCTCTGGTGAGTTATATGATGTAGATACTGAAGCCGGACTAAGACTTTCGACAACGGAGACATCTTAAGCCTCGAGGGCTCAGGGAAGTGCCCCAATTTATAGAGGGATATAGGCCACTTTGGCTTACTTTTTTTCCTATTCATCTGAGATTTGCCGAGTCCCAGACCATGATTATCCTGTTCAAGAAGCAATTCTGTGATGGAACTAGAGAAAAGAGTGTGTGTCTAACCCCTGAACAAATAGTGCACGAGCCACTGCCCCGTGAGATCCAGGCCAGAACTGCTTTCCTGTCGTCTGAGCTGACTGGAAGATGGGGAAGGAGTGGTGAGGGAAAGCCTTCCACAAGGCATGAAGGCGATCCTTGGACTAATTCATTCCTATCAGTCAAACAGCAATCCTCTCAACTTAGGCTTTCCATTTGTTACTCCAGATTTTCACTTATGCATTGTCCCTGAGGGGCAATGACAAAAGACAGATTTCTGGCCAAATATTGAGTTTAATAGACGTCCCCACAGGTTGAGTTGAGAATATAGCTTTGCTTCTGTGAAGAAAAGGGAGGAGTTTGACTTTAAGACACCAGTTAGAAACTTAAAAAAAAAACTCTGTTTTAATTTCAGAAACTGAAGATATAGTGAACAAAACCAAGGCCCTCCCCACCCTCCATCCATGGAGGTGGCATTCTTGAGAGGAGACAATTAAATGATAACCCATGGGGGGGGGAGGTGCTCTGCAAACCTGACCATCTGAGTTCAATCCCTGGGACTCACATAAACACAGACAAACAACGACACCAAACTCTTAAGTGCCTTGGCTTGTGCTGTATCTGCGATCTCTGTACTCCTACAGTGAGATGGGAGGTAGGCACGGGAGAGACACCTAGAAGCTCTGGCCAGCTAGCTCGGAGTACACAGAGAAGCAAAAACAAGGGAGACCCAGACTCAGAGTGTGGGAGGAAAGATCCGACTCTCCCAGATTATCCTTTGGCTTCTAGACCTGCGCAGTGTTACACTTACACACACACACACACACACACACACACACACACACACATATACACACACCCTCCCTCCCAAATAAACAAATGTATATACTTTAAAGATTATATTAAAAAAGAAATCCAAATTATGGGCAATGTGTAGGGTTGATAGGTGTTATGGGCGGGGCGGGGGGGGAGGGGAGGGACAAGCAGAAATAGAAAGATTTGACAACTTCAAAAATGATGGCATCGAGAGTAACTAATTTAAGTGAAAAGTTGCCCGGATCGTGTGGTAAGGAGCATCTAAACTAGCAGGAAGGGCCAGCACAGAAATTCTGAGCCTGGAGACCACAATGAGACGCAGAAGGGGGAGCAGACAGAATGTTGGGGGGTCTGAGATGCTTTGGTGTTGGAGCCTTGCGGGCAACTGCCTGCTCTTTTGAGCAAGTTAGGACTCACCTGTATTGAGTTGCTTCAAACTAGGGCCTGTCTGCTTCAGAGCAACGTCCCCCTACCACATCGGCCACACTTAAATTTCGATGTACGTAAAGCCACCTGAGAGCTTGTTGACATTTAGTTTCTGATCTGGTAGTTCTGCACCTTGAGCAAGCTTCCAGGTGCTGGCCGTCTGCTGGTCCACAAAGACACTGAGTGAGAAGAGAAAGGAGGGGTTGAACCCCAAGAGGCCGATGGGCTCGCTTCTCTGTTACCGCTGCAAGGGCTTTGTTGAATTTTAACCTGGAAGGTCCACTCAGGGGGTCTCTGTTCACACATTCATACTGGCCATGGATTCCCTCACCACTCGCGGTGACCTGAGGCCCCCATAGCAATCCCAGCCAGGTTGTCTGGCTGCTTCTCTGCAGGCTGTGAAAGTTTCTAGGGCCTCCTCACTGCTCAAACCCTCTGGCTTGGACTCCCACCTGGAAATCTTGTATTCCTAGGGTGATATTTCATACTACATGTGTCCTATTCCAACCACAGTGGCTTGGACCCAGGGCCTTTACTTCTGGCCCTGGACTGGGAGTCACAGTGCAACTCTCTGTAGGCTGAGACAGCTGGAAAACTCAGGCCCAGGCAGAAGAGTCTGGGGTCTGTTCACAGCCTTTCTCAGGAGCCAGCACAGTCATTTGCAAAGGACCGACTTCTTGTGATAGCATAGGTAATGAGCTCAGATAGGCCACAGCCTCCTCTCTTTACCTGTGCAATCTCCAGAATGTTCCTTAGCCCTCTTCCCCTTCCCCCTCTCCCCTCCTCCTTACCCCCTCCTCACAAGTCCTGAACCCAGGACTTCCCACATGCTAAGCAAGTGTCTTATCCCTGAATTGAAACAGCAGACTTTCAGCTACAGTTTTTTATCAAGAAATTGGGAATGATAACAATGCCTCCTTCATGAACAGAGATAATGTGTGTGTGACAGAGAGAGAGAGAAAGAGAGAGAGAGAGAGTATTCAGCAAATTGCCTTGCGTGTATGATTATACAATACTAGCTGCTATTTCTTTTTGTTCTTTCTAAATCATTTTAGATCAGCATTATGGCACCTGCCCACACACTCCCTCGAGTTAAGTTGCTGGTGTGTGTGTGTGTGTGTGTGTGTGCAAATCTTAACAGTAGAATAATTATGTGATGAGACAGAAACGTCGATGGACATTTAATTATGAGAGATGTCACACGGGCTAACCGAAGAGGAAGAAGAGGACAAAATTGATGGTGACTGGTGGTGGCTGTCTTCTAGATGCCATCGTAAGATCAATGGCTGTGTCTTAGAAGCCCCCCCGGGGGGACACGCTCGCGATCAGTGGTGGGAGACGAATCAGCACCACAACCAAGGTCAACTGCAAAGGTGGAAACTAAGTTTGCAACAGCAAAATGAAGAGACTGAGGGGGGCGGCGTGTGATGGGTGGGCTGGTGCGCAGCCGCCGCAGCGGAGCCAATCACGGGGAGCAGCGGGTCCTGCCGTGGTGACGTCACGGTTGCCATGGCGAGGCCGGCTCGGTCGAGACCCTAGGCTGGTCCAGCTTTGAAGCCCCGGTCCGCTGGCACCATGAGCGGCCGGAGTAGGGGTCGAAGGTCTTCCCGCGCCAAAAGCCGGGGCAAAGGCCGGGCCAGACCCCGGGTCCGCGCCGCCGAAGACGATGCCTGGCGTGACGCGAAGTCGCCGCAGGACCCGCAGCTCGGGGAGGATGACGCCGCCCCGGAGGAGGAGGCCGAGCAGGTGCAGGCCGGAGCTGCTCATGGAGGCTCGGAGCCAGCCGAGCTCGGGGATGAAGCGGCTCGCCGCCTCCCGCTGGACTGCGGCCTGGCGCTGCGAGCACGGGCTGCCGCCGCCGCCGCTGCTGCTGCTGCTTCTGCGGGCGAGCGCGGGCTGGCCGCCACTGACCCGGGCCTGGAGAGGGCCACCTCCCTCGCCGAGCGCCTAGCCACCGACACCGGCTTCGTGGGAACCGTGGGAGCCTTGGCGAGGCTGCGACACCGTCTTGCAAGCCGGCGAGCGCACGGGAGGAAGGCCACAGATGCCCGGAACGCCGCAGCGGGGAGGGGACCTCAGGCCACAGTCAGTGGGAAGCCAAAGATGGGCTCTGCTGGGCCTTGCGTCGCTGTCCCAGCGGGGGAGGAAAGGAGGGTGGCGGAGAAGCATGCTGGGTCAGTGTCCTCCATGACAATAGGCAGCATGGATACCCTGGAGACGGTCCAGCTGAAGCTGGAGACCATGAATGCACAGGCCGACAGGGCCTATCTCAGGCTCTCCCGCAAGTTTGGCCAGTTGCGACTTCACCATTTAGAGCGCCGGAACCTGCTCATCGAGAGCATCCCGGGCTTCTGGGGACAAGCATTTCAGAACCATCCCCAGTTGTCAACTTTCCTGAATACCAAAGATAAGGAGGTGTTGACCTACTTGAACAGACTGGAGGTGGAAGAGCTTGGCCTCGCTAGATTGGGCTACAAAATCAAGTTCTACTTTGGCCGAAACCCTTACTTCCAAAACAAGGTGCTGGTCAAGGAGTATGGGTGTGGTCCCTCGGGCCAAGTGGTGTCTCGCTCAGCTCCAATCCAGTGGCTCCCAGGTCACGATCTACAGTCCCTGAGCAAGGAAAACCCCGAAAATAACGGTAGCTTCTTTGGGTGGTTTTCAAATCACAGCTCTATCGAGTCTGACAAGATCGTCGAGATCATCAACGAGGACCTGTGGCCCAATCCTCTCCAGTACTACCTGATCAGCGAAGAAGCCCGTGGAGAGAAAGGAAAGGAAGAAAGGCCAGGTCCAGCCAAACAGCCCCGGGAGACCGCCGCAGCACCTGGGGCCAAGCCGTCCAACTGACACCATGGTGAAGACATCCCTAGTACCTCCTGCTGGACCGGCTAGGCTGACCACGTGGCTTTGGATGTCTGCCGTCTGTTGATGCCGTCATGGTACACGGTAGCCACCTTGGACATCTCTCCAAGAACGTGGCATCTGTGGATCCTCCTTTGCTTCCCCCATGGCCTCTCCTTGTCACAACGGTGTCACATGTCGTGTGAGCTCGCCCTCACTTGCTTGTGTGTTAAGCGGTCAAGGTGTACAGCAACCTCTCACTCTCCACAGACCCTGCTCTTAGCTCTGGCCCTGTTCGCCTGTCTCTCACGTGGACATTCTGAGTCATCGCCCAGATGGAGACTCGAGCTGCGGGGGCGGGGCTCCGTGGCCAGTCCGCTTCGTCTTCATCTTAGCCATGCATGCTTATCAATGGCCAAATTTCCTGTTGCCAGCACAACAAAATGAAGCTAGTGCCCATGGCGTTGGCCACCAGCCAGATTTATTGTCCTGTGGGTCTGGGGACAGCAACCAAGGTTCTTCCTGTTTTATTCCCAGCTTCAGCCTAGGGTCCAGCAGACTCCTGGGTGCAGATGATGAGGTCACGGGTCAACAGGAGGAGCAAGTCCTGTTTCCTTCACCTCCTGCAAACTCTTCTTGCCTGTGGGCCAGCCCGCCAGTGAACCTTCATCAAGGTCTGGTCATGCCCGGTTGCGGCCAGTCCACGGACTGGACTGTTGGCTACGTTGCTGTTGGCTCCAACCGGCTTGTTCATGAACGATCTCAAGAACCGCCTATGGACCCAGGCACCCTCCCAGTGCATGCGCTTTCAAACCTACCCTCCCCAGACTTCAGGAACCCTACTGGCGGGCAGCCTGGCACTTGTGAACAGTATGCTTCTTGCTATCATGCTTTGGGCCACAGCTTTGTCAGCTAGGTATCCGTGTCAACTTTCCTTATTCATTGCTAAGATGGGGCAAGAGTACTTTGGTGGGATGCTGAGGAAGAGAGCTTTTTTTCATTTGTTACGCCTGCGTTTACCTCACACCTCCATGCAACTTAGTCTACTCCCCTATCTGCCTGCCTCCTGACCTTCCTACCCTCCTTCTTGTCCTCCCCTCCCCCAGGGCCCCTCCCCCAGAACCCCTCCCCCTCCCCCCACCCTTAACATAGCATCACAGCTCAGACAAAGAAAATCGTCAGCCAGACTTTTCTATATATAGCTAGGAAGGTTGTAGTAGGCTAAGATAGGATAAAGAAGAACCAGAAGGCCCCAGGAGGTCCTATTGTCGGACCACTCATTCTGTAGTTCTCAAGTCGTACGCGCCCTCTAGAACTGGGGGCCCTAAGGCAGCAGTGTTGTGGACTCTAGTTTTGTCTTCTGTGTGTTTCTTTTTAAGGCCCAGGGAGGGGCTTCCTTTAGTCTCCCTTGGTAGCCTGTGCAACTGGGATCCTCAGTCTTCAGTTTTCCCGCTCCACAGTCCTTTGCTGTCTTTGCCTCTTAGCCCAAAAATACTCACTATGGGGGAACCCAAGGTGTTCCTAGGGATAGGCACAGGCAAGAAGGCTGTTCTAGGTATTTCCCGTCCATGGAAATTAGAACTCTCTTCGCCAAACGCACATTCTGCTATGGAGGACTTCACCCTAACCTCTGTGAGGGGGTCCTTGACTCAGTGCTAAGGGGACGATAGGCAGGGAAATCAGAACGTAGAATAGGCATGAGAAATGGCTTCTGAAACTGCATGGGAGTGGCCGGTGTCTCAGCGTTGAAGGTGGCAGGAGAGACCTTACTCAGGTTTGGGAAGGGAGGATTAAAGGGATTGGTGGTAGACAGGATACCTGGGCTTTGCCCGAGTTCTGAACAGTCTTTATCATCACTAGTGGTTTTTTGGTTTTGTTTTATTTATTTATTTGTTTGTTTGTTTGTTTTTGTAATCACAGAAACAAACCAAAAGCAATGCTACTGTGTTGTGTTGGATGCTTTCTGTTCTAGGTGCAGCATTGTAGGTGTAGAAGATTACACTGTATGCTATGTATACTTGCTTTAAAATGTTATTTGTTCTTTATTACCTAAATGTCCACAAACAGGAGTGGAGGAGATGGTCCTTGGACCCTGTGTGCCTTCTGCCTCTCAGCATCCATCATCAGCTACGAGCAACCACATTTCATCTGTAGCTCCTCTTCCTCCCGCGTTGTTGACTGAAAGCCCAAGGTACTCTGCCCGTACAGTCAGACGTACTTTGGGAGGTTGGGGCCCTGGCATTGGCAGTTGTGGGGTGCGCTCTCTCGATCCCAGCAAGGCAGCTTCTTCCGTCGTGTGCAAATTAACAGTTTTCCAGAAATGGGCCTCACAAGTGAGTCTTCACAGTTAGTGAAACTCAGAGGGTGATGATGAGGATAGTCCCCCACATCCACAAAAGAAGGGGCCATTCTGCTGTAAATCTGTCCAAGACCCTTCGCAATACCCGTCTTGTGTGTAACATAGAGACTTGTGTGGACTGTTAGGGTTGCTGTGCTCTGTGAAAATAATCCCCCCCCCCAGCAAATCTTCTATTGGTTGTTGTAGTTGACGTTTGATACCCTGGTAATAATGCAATTATTTCCCTGTTACTAAGCAGCATAAATCCTTGCAAGTGTGCATGTATGGTGGAAAAATGATAATAAAAATTCTTGTGTTACTGTTCTATTCATATTGCAGAATCACAGTTGGAGGGGTTACTGGAAAGAGGCTGAGCAGAAGTGAGGAGTGAGTGGTGTGCAGTGCCCTAGGCAAGCAGGTCCCAGGCCTAAAGCCTGGCACAAGAACACATGCAGTCCTGCCTCTCAGGCCCTTCCCAGAGACTGGCATCTTCTGTGGCTCTGGAGGAAGCCAGCTGGTCTTGCTTATAATGGGTTTTCCAGGTGCTTCTCACAGAAATTCAGTGTTTCTAACATCTGGTAGTGAACTTGAGTTAAGTGGGGAATCCCGTGAAGTGGATTTTTGACTTAGTAGTCAGGCAGAACCGGGGCACCGTGACAGGCTTCCCGGTGATGAACTGCCGGTGACATGTGGACTACACTTTGAGCTGCAACTGACCTCAGAAGGCCTTCCAAAGAACTAATAGAAAGATGAGAAAAATGATATTTCTTGTTTTTTGTTCTGTTTTGTTTTTAAAGGCCCTTCAAGCTAGAGTTCTGGTATTCAAGGCTGGCTGCATGTTAGAATTAACTGGGAAGTTTAAGAAAATACCCGTGCCAGCGTCACACAATGACCACCTAAGTGAGAATGAGGAAACAGTGACCCAGCCACAAGTAGCTCCAAAGGCTTCCCCAGGTGACCCAGCATAGCGCCTTGAGAGTAGGCTCTGTGACGCTGCTCATTTCACGTACCCAGAGAAAGGACGGATCGTTTCCATCAAAAGAAGCCATCTTCCATGATGACCAAACACCACAGAAAATGACTAGAAAAAGAGGGTGGTTTGATGGGCAAGAAAATGGCACTGGGGGGCTGTCATGATGGTTCACTAGGGAGAGGTTCTTGCTACGCCTAAGACCTGAATTTGATCCATGACGTAGGTGAAGGAGAGAACCAATTCCTTCAAAGTGACTTTCTCATGCATGCCACGGCATACCCATCCCTCATACAGTAAATAAAATTGTGATAAGAAGATAGGCTTATATGATGGTGAGGATTTGCTGAATAAATAAATATGCAGTGTTTGGGACATAGTAGGTTGCCCCAAACATAGTTGGATGAACAAATACATTTGTTCTTGGTTTGTATTCAGATGCCCCAGGGATAGTTGGGTAAATATGTTAACTGTGTTTGTTGTTTCATAAGTACATCTACATTAATTTTCTTCCTGAACTAAGTACTCAGACTAGGGGTTACAAAACGACAAAAATTAATTCCTCAGTTATGAAGGCCAGAAGTCCAAGAGTGAGGGGTGGCCAGGGTGATTGTTCCTTCTGAGGGCGTCTTTCCTTGGCTACTGATGGATTTGTGTATTCACATGGCCTTTCCCTGGCATGTGTCTTGTAACCTCCCCCTCCTAGGAAACAACCATTCCTAACCAGGGTCCACCCCAGGGGCTTTAACTTCCACTTCCCTTTTAAAAATCTGGTCTCTAAATATAGCCTGAGGTGCTGAGTAGTAGGTCGTCCTTTGGACAATGTAAATGTTTTGCATAGGCTCTAAGTCTTATCACAGTTCCAGGTACTTTTACAGTAACCTTATGGGGATTAACTTCATCCTTTCCATATAAGGTACTTGTCAAGTAACCGGGATAAAAAGAAGCTAAAAGGTCATTTGGCTCAGATCGCAGCATTAAGTTTGGGTAGTCTGACTGAAGAGCCCACACCAATTCTTACAGTTCCTAAAGGCAAGTCAAATACCAGAATATGTCCTCACTGGCTTTCAACTATTTACAAGAACGGCAACCTGACCTGATGCTCAGAGGCCCCGTGAATCCATGTGCTGATGCCTGGGCAGGAAGGTGTTAAGTCTGTGTGGCGGTTAGGGCAAACAGCTCTGGGACTCCAGAGTTCATTTAGGCCTCATGTAGGTGTCTACAAAGAGTGTCGAATGAGGATCCTTATGCAGATCTCCTAAACTTGAATGTTTTTTTTTTTTTGAGCAAATGAAAACCACATTTGTTCCTCTCGTGTGTACATGTGGGTGTGAGTGTACCACCGCAGAGGTGGTGACTGTTAAAATCAGGTCTCTCGCTCCGCTACAGGTGTCTTGGGGGATTGGGATTGAATTTAGGTTGTCAGGCTTGGTGGCAGGCGTCCTTGCCCTCCTTGCCAACTTACCGGTTTTTTCTTTTTAACCCAGAGTTTTTCTTTAATTTTTAAAAAAAAAGGGCATACAAGGTATTGGATGTCCTTACGACATTTTGAACAAAGTGAGCTTTAGTGGGTTCTCCTCCAGCCTTGCCTTCCCCACCCGTCTCCCTAACCCATCCTTTGTCTCTTTTCCTCTTACCTACTCTCTTATCCCCTTCCATACCTCTTTTTATTCGCTCACGGTCCCCTGTCTAGGTTTGGTTTTTCTCTTCCTTTTTTAAATTTAAGTTAGAAACAAGTTTGTTTCACATGTCAGTCCCAGCCCCTCCCCCTCCCCTCCCCTCCCCCACCCTTCCCACCAGGTCCCCCCAGCCCCCCAACAATCTACACCCCGATCCCCAGGTAGGGTGAGGTCCTCCACGGCAGATCTCCAGAGTCTGTCATGTCATCCAGAGGCGGGGTCTAGGCCCTCCCTCAAGAGTCCTGGCTGGGAGAGCATCCCCTCATTGTGGGATGGGCACTCAAAGTCTATTTGTATGCCAAGGCCCCATAGATTACCTAGGCCTCCTCACTGACACCCATATTCAGGGGGTCTGGGTCAGTCCCATGCTTTCCACATAGCCATAAATCTGGGGTCCAAGAGCTCCCCCTCGTTCAGGTCAGCTGTTTCCGTGGGTTAAACCAGCCCAGTCTTAACTCCTTTGCCCATCAGTTCTCCCTTTCTGACACTGGATTCCAGAAGTTCAGTTCAGTGTTTGTCTGTGGGTATCTGCCTCTGCTTTCATCAGTCACTGGATGAAAGTTCTGTTTTCCAGACTCTCTGGCAATGGGATTGTAGGCTGGCACTCCCCTGATTCATGTCCAAAATCCATAAATGAGTGAGTACATACCATGTTTGTCTTTTTGTGACTGGGTTACCTCACTCAGGATAGTTTCTTCTAGTACAATCCATTTGCCTGCAAATTTCAAGATTCTGTTTTTTTTTTCCACTGAATAGTACTCCTGTCTAGATTTTTAGGCTTTACCCATATTTTTCACCCATCACTACACATGCACATAAGCAAGCTAGGATCCACGTATATAAAAAAAGAACATGTAAGGTTTGTTTTTATGAGTCTGGAACACCTTGCATAATATACTTTTCAGATCCATCTATATTCCTGCAAATTTCAATTTTCCTTACGGCGGAATAAAATTGCGCTGTGTATATTTTCATTATCCATTCGTCTGTTGGCATACATCCAGACTGGTTCCCTTCTGCTATTGTGAACAGAGCAGCAATCAACATAGATCTATAAGTATCCCCGAGTTTTCCTACAGGCTGATATGTAGAGTGTAGAATGTGATTGATATCTGCTTATTTTTACAGGCAGGAGCCTACGGTTAGGATTTATGCAGAGTCCCCCTGGCATTACAATTGGGTTCCATCTACACAGGTGCAGAGCCTGTATTTCTCAGCTGGCCCACTTAAAACACTATCAATTTTCTGTTACTATAGTGGAATACTTGAGGCTGGACACTTTCTCAAGGTTTGCTGCTTATGGTTTTGGAGGCTGACAGCCCAACTAACAGTCACTCAGGGGAGTTAATCCAGCGGTTCGCAGAACAGCGTTTTCCCGATCTTTTCATTTCTTATAGGTATTTGAGTTTTCAGCCTAGCATGGGTAAACTTATGTTCCCCCTAAACAGGTAATGCCAAATGCTGGTTACTTTCCTTTTAGACAGTTTTAAGGAAAGTTGAAGCAATGCTCATATGCAGTGTGCCCAAGGGAGGGCACGCCTTCTTTCTTGTCTGTAAGATTTACTCCTTTACGGACATGTGCATTCCTATTTCATGTTTTTAAATCTGTAAAACTCTTCTTTCTTTCAGTTGATCAACTGAACTACATTTTTGGCCCTAGCTTTCGTTGGACTCCACCACTGTAGTCCTGGCCTTACTTCTGGCCCTCTGGGTGTTCTCATTTCGCATAAGCTGCTTACTGAACAAGAAAATAATTTCAGATATGGTTCAGGTATACTTGTTCTGTGCCGTATTTTTAATCTTTCAAGCTTGAGTTAATTTTCCTTTTGAAAATTTCCTCCATGTTTTTTTGCCACACTTCAATTTACTGTACTCTCACCTATTGACCTGCCTACTCCTACAAGAAGCTTTGGGGTCCCAGGTGGCAGAAAATAATTAGCAAAAACATTTTTTCCATTCCCATCGTTCGGACACTTACACATAATAGGTATTCATTAAGTAGAAATGACTCAGCACATGTGGTGATCTAAATAAAAATGGTCCCCATAGACTCATATATTTGAACGCTTAGTCACCAGGAAGAGGAAGGAACTATTTGAAATAATTAGAAGGAGGTGTGCTTTGTTGGAGAAAATATGCCACTGGGGTTGAGCTTTGATGTTTCAAAAGGATATGCTGACAGGTCTAAGTCTCTCTCTCTCTCTCTCTCTCTCTCTCTCTCTCTCTCTCTCTCTCCCCCCCCCCCCGTTTCCCTCTCCCTCTCTCTCCTCTCTTTCTTTCTTTTTCTCTGACTATGGATCAAGATGTAGCTCTCAAGTACTCCTCCAGCACCATGCCTGCCTGAATGCTCCCTGCCACGATAATAGACTAACCTCCCAAAATGTGAGCAAGCCCCAATTAAATGCTATCTCCTATAAGAGTTGCCTTGGCTTTGGTGTCTCTTCACAGAAACAGAACTGTGATTAAGAGAACACGAATGCTAGAAATGCCTGGGAATAGAGACTGGGAAATAATTTTGCATATTTTGCATGAAGAAGTGTGAACCTAATACAAACGGATTAAAGGCTGGGGTGGAAGCGGTTAAGGAAGCTATTACCTGCAGAAAGCCTCAGGCAGAAAGACTTTGGGGCATCAAACCACTCTCACTGCACTTTAGAAATCAAGCAGGAAAAGGAAAC